CAGAGAAGTAACAGCGGCCAAACACCTTCTTGCAGACGCAATCGTCCTTGCTGGTCTCGCCAGCATCCGTCCCCTCCTGGTCACCGCTGCTCTTTTCTGTCTTGTCGTGTTGGTTGTCTTGTCTTGGTTAATGATCACTGCTGCAAAACAGCAAATCCTGCATCTGAGAGAGTATCCTGACATAAGGTAGCAATCACACCCACTTCTCAGTTCAATTCAATTCGGTGCATTTTTATATAGCGCCTTTCACAACAGTCGCCCCAAGGCGCTTTACATAAGTGTCCTGTGATACATTACAGCATCATTAAGACAGAATAACACCGAAACAGGGGAAAGGAAGACAAAGAAAGGAAAGAGAGCCAGATGATAACACTGTCACAAGCATAATGACTTTGTCACATTTTTTGATACTGTATTGAGCTGTGAATATTGCCCCAGAGAAATGCTCAGTATTGGCATATTTAAATACTGCCTTTGGTTCCCAACAACAAAGCAAAGACATTCATACGTTGTTTGACGGATATTTTCCTGTTCTCCTGTATCTAAAGGCAACGGAAGAAACATTGTCAGCAGCTGAAAGGGCCCGGCCACTACTGTGTGTCAGTCGGTCCGTATCTGTCCCAAAACAGAGCTGACTGCGAGCCGCTCGGGCATGACCTTCCGAAGACTTTTGTTGTCTATAGTGCCTTGGGGAAAAACACTAGAACATAGAGGGACGCAACACAAAACAGGAACAGAACAAAAACCTCTTAATGCACAGAGGAAACACACAGGCTAGTTCGGTCTAAGAGACCTCTGTACCACTCTGTCTCTTAGAACCTGGCCAAATGTGAATCACCCATATTATAGTACAGTCATCTTACTAACATGAGACTGGACTTGCTATATTTATAAATCTTACATGTCTACACATGTAACGCTTTCATTTCCATGAACGGCATTCCCAGCAATAAAATGTGGACCATTATGTTTTCACATGCTATTTTGTCAGCAAAGGACATAGAGATATGGGCTTTGAGTGAGTTGAATTCTGGGTAAAGCCGGCCAGTATAACAGGGTTCTAGTAAAATCGGGTTGGGAACTAACTGGAGTTCAGAAAGCTGCAGCTGGAACGAGCCACACAAGGGGAACTAGCTAGGCGAGAGGACGGCTCAACTGACCTGAACACTCAATCCGCAGCTCAGGAAAGGAATCAGTTCTTACCACAGGTTCAGAAAGTAACGTGGCATAAATGGTTGGAGTGAACTCTAATACGCCACAATTTCTTTCGCGGGAGGGGTGGCTCTGAGGCTAGGGGTCTGTGCTGCCAACTGGAAGGTTGCTAGTTCAAATCCTGCAGACGCCAGGAGTGGTTCTAGTCTGTCGGCCCTTGAGTGAGACCCTTACCCAGCTATTGCTCTCTCCTGGGTATGACATTAACCTACATTGAGCCCCATAAACAGGTCCTCCAACTTACAGGTAAAAGTTTTGGGTCGGTGGCAGGATTGGAACTCCAGCCACCGGAAAAAAAACCTCACACAGTTCCATTCTATTGAAACTAGTGTGGCGCTGAGGTACCACCTGCCACACAGCTGCACTCGGGTTCTCAGCCTTGAGGAGCTTCATTGTGTGGTGGCTGCAGCAACACACTGCATCAGCATGAGCTCCTAACCTCCACCTAGATTTCTACTTTGATAGTTGTTAAGTTGGCAGTTGTATTAATGTTAACAATACATGCTTGGATTACATTACCTATGCTATGCTTAAGGACCTAAACTCCAAGTGGTTTTAGGTTTGAATCATTAACCCTGTTGTCACACCTAAACTACTTACAGTAAGTTGTTCAGCATAAGATAAACTGACAAAGCTGAATATTATTTCTTTTTGATTAGTGAGTAACTGCTAAACAGATTAAGCATGGATCCAGAACTTCCCACAAAACAAAGCAGAAACGAATGTGCACTGTCGTTTCTCAAAGAGCCATGCCCTATCAATCACACTGTACAAATTTACACATGTGCAGCTTATGGTTTTCTGTAGCAGTTCAGATTAGCTCCACCTGTAGCTCAATCTGTTTCCCTTTGATAATTCTCCTGTACCCACTCCCTGAAATTTCCTGGAAACCACTTGAAGGACATTAAAGTATATTTGAGAGGTGAAAGGTAGTTCTTTGTTTTAAAAACGCACTGCAGTGTAACATCTTTAATCTATATGGACGCACAAGCAGCCCTAAGGTGTGCATTTACTGCCACCTGGGCGTGTCAGGATGGTTCAGAAGGCGGCCTACCTGTGTCCTCTGTCACTAGGCTGCTCTGTCATCCAGTGAGTATGGAAACAGGAGGAGATGCTTTAAGTGCAGCAGGAAACACTGGGAAGTAAATTTTGCACTAAAGCACACTTGTTTTTTATATTTGAACCTTTTTGCATGGATATAAATGAAAGCAATGAATGGCCTCTTACTATGAGAGCATATTTATGAGTTATTCTGATTGTAATTATGATTATAGTAATACTGATTTTCAAGTGATGCATTAAAAACACAAAAAGAGCCAAAAGGTAGCAGCATATTAATCATTGTGTTTGTATTCTACAATAATCTAATGACAATGAGCAGAAATGTCAGGTCAGCGTTCACTACAGGTCTTTGAACATGATGGTGTGCTCTGACGGGGAAGCTTTAGTCTGTGTGTGTGTGTGTGTTTCTGTGTATATGTGTGCGTGTGTTGGATGTATTAGATGCTAAATTCTGCTAAATCAGAACTGTGAATACTAGTGATGTCGGTGTGCTACTGACACAAACCCAAGACAGAAATGGAGATTACGGGAGCTGTGTACCGACACTGTGTATCACACATGTTACCGAGGGACACAGGTGAGTGACCAGCTTTTGCCAGCACACAATAAGGGAAGGACTCTGGAAAATGGTCAGTCAAGCCGTCACTCCCTGTGTGGACTGATTTTCCATGACATATGTTCTATAATCCAACAATGCTGAGTCACAGCAACCCATATAGGCTATTTATGGAAGTCTCTCCGACCTGAGGGAGGCCTGCACTTTTTTCCGTTTCCACCCCTCATAGAGGTTTTTATCGTGCCGATAAAACAAAACCAGGGACATTCCTTTGTGTAATTTTTCTTACTGGTCAGTTTGCTGCTTTTCATTTGCTTTGTATGATAACAGTAAGAACCCAGCAAATGACTAATGGAATAGTTCATCTGTAGAGAATCGGGCCTCTCGCCAGAGCTGCAGAAATGTTTTTGGATGACCATGATTTTGCCCTGAGTTGAACACTGGCAGATGGCTTGAATGTGCTTTTTTCCAGTGATGGACATGTCACTATGTTTTCACAGCGCATGTTTTTGCTTGAAGGTTACCTCGCATTGCCAGAGTACAAGCAAATATGGGTGATAGAGAGAAACAACCAAAACCATTAAAAACATGTTTTGCATATTATATGGTAAGCTGTAACTGTATTCATTTTAATCCATCCATCTTACTAGATATCCTTTAGTATTCTGTACTTTAAATTTATCCACCAGCCAATTATATACTCTTTACCAAAAGTCATTCAATTAGAAGAAAAAAATCGGTAACACTTTCTATGAAGCCCATGCGTATAAGTATCTATGCTCATATTCATAACACATTATAATGCATTCATAAAGTGTTATAAACATGGCAATACATATTTATAAAAAAGACATAACACATTATGGCCATGTTTATTATGCCTTATGAATGCTCACACCTATAATGCACTATACAGTCCATGATGAATTATAATGGCCAGCATAATGCATTATGAAGGTGTTCATTGTGTATTATAGATGAGAGCTTTCATGATGCACAATAAGCATGGCTATAATGTCTTATGCCTTTTAAAATAAATGTTCAATAATATTTATATATAATTTATATATGATTTTATATATAATATTTTATAGCCATGGTTATAATACCTAATGAATGCATCATAATGCATTATGAGGGTATGCATCACGCATTTCTATGACTGCTTCAAGTCAAGTGTTACCAAAAAATCTACCCAAATTATTTAAGTTTACATCATAAGCGAGTAAAAAGTCAGTTAGCAAAAGATCACTGAGAAAGTGAAACGTCTGAAGCCGGGTCACAGACTCCGGTTGGCAGAACAGTGAACCTCTCAAAGCATCATTTCTGTCAAAGTTTGACTGGGGACTGATGGCAGGTAACAGCGAGGTTTATGAACCGGTGGTATAATTTAAAGTCCTTACAGGGTCACCCTGTTGTACCCTAGAGCTAGGATCTAAACCAGAATCAGTAAATTTCCAGTTGCATACACAGGTGATAGTGTAGATAGGCTGCTTTTGATTAAAGGTAGGCAGCAAATAATTAATACAGGTTGTTCTGGCTAACAGGGTCAGTGCAGTAAGTAAATGTCCTGAATCCCAAAGCAGGTGCTGTGTCACTGCATGGCCCATGTTCTGGGTACATGCAGTCTGGGTGGTGATTTGATACTGGGAAGGTAAGAGGCCGCCTGTAGCGGCGCATCTCTGCCTAATCCAGATGCCCTCTTTGCTATCTGGTTATCCTTCCTGCTTGGCTTCTGTTCCACTCCTGTATTCCCTTCCAATAACTGCTTACATTGGAGAGTAAAGCGGGACTCTGGTCCACAGCGAGGTCCTGACATACATGTGACAGCCACTTAGGGCAAGTTAGCGCCACCTGCGAAGCGTGTCCTCGGATTGTGAGAAGAAGCAGGAGACGATGAGAAGACGGGGGAAGCTTACAGAGCACAGGGGGCACGTTCAGACGTGACACTTCAGAAGAACTAAAGAGCTGGAGGTGACATGGGGTACAGCCTTCTGCTGTGGTGGCCTTTTTACTGTGGCAGGACGTACAAACGCAGAGTGACATCCTCCAGCTCCTCGGTGTTTAGATCTTCCCTTCCATGGCGTTTCCACTTTCATAGGATCCCATTTATTCCGAACTGTAGTAACAACAGCGGCCTGGTGACTGTGCAAGTGAATCAGGACACATACAAATTTCCCATATTTATTCTGTTATTTATTAACAAATATCATTAAGCCTTAGCTGTGGGGGAACCTGGTCCTTTGGAGGCTTCAGGATGAGAGCAGGAGCTCCAGGTGTGAATAAGCAGCTAACAGAATTAAAGGTAAACCCCAAACAACCTGCACACCCCATTCGACATTCAAAAAACACTTCAATTTTCATGTAACATTTCTACATTTATTTCTATCAGACAAAGGACACCATCCCATTTCTATCCCGCATCTTGTCTCCTATGTCGTCCTGTAGGGGGCGCTGCTCTCTGTGGTCTTCAGCACGCTCACATGACGGTCGCCAGCAGATTCACGCTGTACACCTCGGTCTGTTCCCCTCTCAGGGACAGCTGTGCCTTGGCATGCGTCACTCTGTTAAACTTCAGCACAACAGGACAGAAGCCGGCCGAGGGTAAGGATGATAAAACAGCCCAGCGGGGATGTGTTGGCTCTCGGTTTGAAGGTACCCAGGCTGTGTCTCAGCCAAGAGACATGAGGCATACAGTACCAGTAAACAGGAGTAGGGGCAGATTAGCGGGAAAGGCCCAGAGACATTTTTTAAGATACAGAGTGAAATATGGCTAAATAATGTACCGTGTTTTTTCACCCGCTGGCAGCCAAACACCACCTACCCTTTCAGAATGAGCCGGAAGCCTCTCCCCAAACCGTACCCATTCCCGTAGGTAGACGCCCTGCCCCCATATCACTGCACCTGGCTGCCCACATACATAACCAAAGGTCTGTCTACTCTAGACGAAGAGGCCGGTAACCGAGACTGATATATATTTGAATGATCGATTAACTTTTCAAAACACGCAAACAAGTTTGCTGTCACGCCCTCAAGTAACGGCAGAAGCGGAAATTTCAGGTCCAGAAATTAAAAATCCAGAGCCAGGGGCCCTAGGCAAGTCATTGCTCAGAGGTGGACATTTCAGGTCCAGAAAGCAAAAATCCAGACCAAGATTTTGTTTCAACCAACCAGTTGAGTACTCTGTGACTGTGGCTATTTATACTCAACAGGGTGGTTGAAACAAAATCTTGGTCTGGATTTTTGCTTTCTGGACCTGAAATGTCCACCTCTGAGCAATGACTTGCCTAGGGCCCCTGGCTCTGCTGCAAATACAAAAGTAAACCCTGCTGATCTGAGCATAATTTGTATTATAATCAAGGAGTCAGTCTTGGTTCTCTCTCCTCAGGTTTTCGCTGTATCTTTTCCCCAATCAGAGCAATACTCTCCATATAGCATTAACTGTTATACTCATGTTGTGAAGTTCCCGCCAAGCCCTTTTGGGAAACAAAATAAATGGACATTTTCCTGTTTCTGGTTGGCTAATTTTGGTCTGGACTGGCTGGGAAGAAGCGGGAATGGAGAGCACTGACACATAAGGGACCTCAGGCCATAGGTGTGACCACTCGGCGTACACTGACCTCCAGACCATTAGGAGGTGCCCACGTCACGGTGAGAGTCTTGAGGGTGCCAGGCGCCACCAGGCCGGACGGGGGCTCCACGGTGAAGCCGCTCTGCTGTAACTCTGCCAGGCTGTCCCACCTGAACTCCACGCTCTGCCAGGGTTAAGGGCCAAACGGCGGGAGCTCGTCAGTGGGGGGGGGGGGGGGCAGCACGGCCGCTACGGCTATGCTCACCAAAACGCAGGTGACACCACGGTCTCCTCCCCCCCTAAAACACCCCATTTACTATTTCCCAGTCGGGGCTGATATCATGTTTTTGTTTACCAGCCGCATTTGGACATGCTTACTGTTTTTTTGTGTTTAATCTCCCCATTTTCACACAATCTGGAATCACCAATTCCCCTTGGAAGCAGGACGCCGATTCTGGAGGTGTGACGACTATGAGACACTCTGAGGCTCGCGGATCCTGGCAGGTGCTGTAATGCGCTCGAGGGATCCAGCCGGCAGTAACATCACCGCGGAGCATCTGGCTGACCCAGCCCCCAGAACCCAAACCGGTCTTTGACGTCTGGGGCCCCCCACTGTACAGATGGCCAATGTGGCACGGCGTGGATCGAACCCGGGTCTCCGCCAGACACCCATTATGGTGACTGGCACACCACTAAGGAGACCTCATGCCTAGCTTTACATTGTATTTGATAATATGTGTAAATAACAGATGTTGCTTGACATTTAATATTTATATGATATATTGTCGCGTAAGAGAAACACAGTAATGGTCTGACTGTGGCAGTTCTCTGCAGTGGTGCGTATGCGAGGCATACCTTCTGAGCAGAGTGCACACATCCCACCTCCAGTTGACGGACCATGGGGACATCCCCCTCCCTGCCTGGGGCCGCCTCGAAAGTCAGCAGGACAGGCTGGGGACTTTGGTCAGAGTCTGCTGTGGACGGCACAGAAGATCTACAGCACTGTGCTACGGCTTCGTGAGCCTTTAATCCTCAACTCATTTGAATAACACTATCCACTGAACAACAATATTAATAAATAATAATAATAATCATAAGAAACACAGCAGCCTGCATTCCTGGCACAGGACTAAGCTCAGGCCAGCTCCCTCTGAGCAAAGGCAGTCGGCGATAAGCAGAGGTACCTGCAGCGCTCGTGTGGCGAGGGGGGGGCAGGCCCTCCAGCGACTCTTTGGCCACCGTGAGCGGCTCCCCCCCACGCAGGAAAGTGGCGCTCCTGCAGCACGCCCCCTGCAGCCTCAGAGAGCACACTGCTTGCTGCGTGCAGAGACACACACACGACAACGTGGAGTTAGAAACGCAGGGGGCTTGTGACTGAAAGGGCCGATTCGTCATCAGTGGCACTTCAGCTCACAGTAAAACCTTAATTATTCATAGTTCCACTATAAAGTTTACAGTTCGACCATGAACATTTCATAGTAGAACTCTTGTTTTGTCTTGAGGGTCATGGTCACCTCTTCTGGTGTTTAATAATTCTGACACTGAAGCTTACAGTTTGACTGTATAGATTTCACAGTACAGCTATGAAAAGTGTGCAAATTCATTGTAAAAATTCATGGTTGAACTGTGAAAGTACAAAAGGCACATTCACACTGCTGGAATTTTTTCCTGAAACCAGAACCTTTTTCGTCGTGTTCACACCGCAGGAACTACGATTGTCGCTCCTCGGAGGCAGCTCCAGAACCCATTTGTACCACCTGCTCCAGACTCGGTACACGAACATGAACTACTGGGGAGGCGCTGGCAGCATCTTAATCAGCTAATCATCATTTCCAGGTTTAGATGGTCTGCTTCAGCAGGGAACTCTGTAATCTGTGTTGGACTCTGGCCCTGCAGGACTGGAACTGGGGGACCCTGGTTTAGGTGCTGTTGGCATTTAATAAGGATGCCCAGGAGACCTGTTCCCTTGGGAAGACTGGGCATGCTGACTTGGGAATGACTGAGGATCCCACAGAATGATCTAGAACCTGTGGCCTTGAAAGAGAGGACTGGTCTGGCCTGTCATCACCACGGTAATGACCATCTTTCTATAGGTTAAAGTGGAAATCTTAAAAAAAAAATGATGTGACTAAATAATGTGGTTTTATTACAACTGACATTCCTTCCATACAGTCATATATTCTACAGTCATTGACAAAAGTCTTGTCACATAAGGACATAGTAACTTAAAAAGGCATATAGTTTTATTTCTAATCAATCAATTGTTACAATGAATGGATCAATTTAATGCCAAGGGCTTTCATATTAATAACTGGGTGCAAAATGAAACAGTCAAAAAGTGTCCTGATGTTCACAGCTTGTTAAAGTCCA